TTTGTTCTGTACGAACGAACGTACATAACTCACTCTGCGTAAGACCCTCCTTTCAGTGGAGGGAATAAAGACAAATGGCGGTTCCATTTTATTTTGATTAGAGGACCTGATAATGAAGTGACTGGATATAACAAATAAAGTGTGTTTTCATAAATTCTGACTTGATAAAAACAGTCTAATTTATTTTTCTCGTAGACTTTGTCGTGGATAACAAAAAGAATAGTGTAAGATGCAGAAAAAGATATCTATATGCTCAATTTTTGTAAAAACAAGACTAAAAGTTAAAGAAAACATGTCAAAAATTTGTAGACCGGTCCGTTTCTTGAAAAGTCGCTTCTACCGACCGGTAAGAAATTCTAGATCAGAGCGGACTGGGCAAACCGGTCCCCTGCCGTTACCAACTGCAACTCTGAAATATTGGTTTTAAATGAACAAATCATGCTTGAAGTTGTGATGCACTGTTAGATTAATTTTATTAGTCTTTGAATAATAAAACACTAAAAGGCACGTTCCAATTTTTGAAGACAGCAACGATAATGTGTCAATATAGTTATATTAAAATAATATGCGGTAATATGATGTTAGTGTTCATGTTCATTTCACCGCTGCATCTATAATATGACAATATTTATCCATACAAGTGAATATACTTGATTGAAATAAATCGAGGAATTTAAAAATATATTCTGTAAAATATATAATAATCAACATTGGGGTAGACGATTACAATGAACAGGCACGAATTACTATTGTGTTGCAAAGCGAAAATAAAGGTTGAGATAGAAGGGAAATGTGTAGACTTTTGAAGTCATGATATGTTTCACATTCAGTAATAGATGGTAAAATTGAATCAGATTATTTAAATCAACACCTACAACCACAATTGTCAGCATCATTAGATTTATTTCTTGTTCCTGCAGTCGAAATAGATACAGATCCATCTGTATAAAATGTTTTACTTGCCATCTCTAAATATTCATTCCTAGTTATAAAATTATATGTTAGTATGCCATCAGAATCAGTCAAAACTTACAATAATGATAACAAAACATGTGCCATGGAATCGATTATAGAGATCTTATAAAACCATAGTTTAACGAAATATAATAACCAAAAAGACTATTCTGTGTGACATTGCCAAATTTTTCGTGAGATATCAGCTATAAAGGGCATGTTTCTCAAGATATTATTTTTATATTTTATTTTTATTGGCAAATTTCAATAGGATAATGTACTTAAAGTAAGCGGATATAAAGGCTCTATAAGAATTGTTCAAATTCAGTGCAGAACATTCCAATAGATCAGAAAAGCACCAGCGTAGATAACGCTCTGGTGCACTTGAAGATAAGTTCCCGTATTGGTTTGTTTTGTTATAGTATTATTGATTAAAGTCATAACAGTGCTAAAATCCGTGTTAGAGCTTGGGTTTGACGTTATTGTTACCCATGACGTTGTCATAGTTGATATATCACTGCTAGATGTTTTTATAGCTCTTGACTCGATTGCTACCATTTCGGTTAGCTGATTGTATCTATTTTTATAATGAGAAACCGATGTCAAAGAAAAGTAATCAAAAATCAACTTTTTTATACTCTTAAAAGTGTTTTTTAAGCAGAAAATAATGACTATAAGTGAACCTTTTAATATACTTTAGTCAAAAATTATTATTAAGTACTATTGAAAGTATGAAAAAATAATAAAATTTATCTGAAAAGTGAAAAATAGTATTAAAATTAAATTTATTTTACTATATTAATATTAAAAGTACTAAGTAGCATGCAAAACATTGTTAAATACTTTTAAAATTAATATAGTAAAATAAATTTAATGTTAATACTATGCTTCACTTTTGATATATTTAATTACTTTTTTCATACTTTCAATAGTTTTTAATAGTAGTTTTTGAAAGAAAAGTGCTTAGAAAGGTTCTCTAATAGGAATTATTTTCTGCTTAAAAAGACTTCAAAGTACTAAAAAGTTTTCGATAAGAAACTCTTATCATCGTCAGCAATATAGAAAAATGAGATAACACTACATAAATATTACAACATTAATTAGAGAAAGCAAGAGAACAAAAGAAAAAGATGACAACAATATTAATAATTATTAATATTGTTGTCATCTTTTTCTTTTGTTCTCTTGCTTTCTCTAATTAATGTTGTAATATTTATGTAGTGTTATCTCATTTTTCTATATTGCTGACGATGATAAGAGTTTCTTATCGAAAACTTTTTAGTACTTTGAAGTCTTTTTAAGCAGAAAATAATTCCTATTAGAGAACCTTTCTAAGCACTTTTCTTTCAAAAACTACTATTAAAAACTATTGAAAGTATGAAAAAAGTAATTAAATATATCAAAAGTGAAGCATAGTATTAACATTAAATTTATTTTACTATATTAATTTTAAAAGTATTTAACAATGTTTTGCATGCTACTTAGTACTTTTAATATTAATATAGTAAAATAAATTTAATTTTAATACTATTTTTCACTTTTCAGATAAATTTTATTATTTTTTCATACTTTCAATAGTACTTAATAATAATTTTTGACTAAAGTATATTAAAAGGTTCACTTATAGTCATTATTTTCTGCTTAAAAAACACTTTTAAGAGTATAAAAAAGTTGATTTTTGATTACTTTTCTTTGACATCGGTTTCTCATTATAAAAATAGATACAATCAGCTAACCGAAATGGTAGCAATCGAGTCAAGAGCTATAAAAACATCTAGCAGTGATATATCAACTATGACAACGTCATGGGTAACAATAACGTCAAACCCAAGCTCTAACACGGATTTTAGCACTGTTATGACTTTAATCAATAATACTATAACAAAACAAACCAATACGGGAACTTATCTTCAAGTGCACCAGAGCGTTATCTACGCTGGTGCTTTTCTGATCTATTGGAATGTTCTGCACTGAATTTGAACAATTCTTATAGAGCCTTTATATCCGCTTACTTTAAGTACATTATCCTATTGAAATTTGCCAATAAAAATAAAATATAAAAATAATATCTTGAGAAACATGCCCTTTATAGCTGATATCTCACGAAAAATTTGGCAATGTCACACAGAATAGTCTTTTTGGTTATTATATTTCGTTAAACTATGGTTTTATAAGATCTCTATAATCGATTCCATGGCACATGTTTTGTTATCATTATTGTAAGTTTTGACTGATTCTGATGGCATACTAACATATAATTTTATAACTAGGAATGAATATTTAGAGATGGCAAGTAAAACATTTTATACAGATGGATCTGTATCTATTTCGACTGCAGGAACAAGAAATAAATCTAATGATGCTGACAATTGTGGTTGTAGGTGTTGATTTAAATAATCTGATTCAATTTTACCATCTATTACTGAATGTGAAACATATCATGACTTCAAAAGTCTACACATTTCCCTTCTATCTCAACCTTTATTTTCGCTTTGCAACACAATAGTAATTCGTGCCTGTTCATTGTAATCGTCTACCCCAATGTTGATTATTATATATTTTACAGAATATATTTTTAAATTCCTCGATTTATTTCAATCAAGTATATTCACTTGTATGGATAAATATTGTCATATTATAGATGCAGCGGTGAAATGAACATGAACACTAACATCATATTACCGCATATTATTTTAATATAACTATATTGACACATTATCGTTGCTGTCTTCAAAAATTGGAACGTGCCTTTTAGTGTTTTATTATTCAAAGACTAATAAAATTAATCTAACAGTGCATCACAACTTCAAGCATGATTTGTTCATTTAAAACCAATATTTCAGAGTTGCAGTTGGTAACGGCAGGGGACCGGTTTGCCCAGTCCGCTCTGATCTAGAATTTCTTACCGGTCGGTAGAAGCGACTTTTCAAGAAACGGACCGGTCTACAAATTTTTGACATGTTTTCTTTAACTTTTAGTCTTGTTTTTACAAAAATTGAGCATATAGATATCTTTTTCTGCATCTTACACTATTCTTTTTGTTATCCACGACAAAGTCTACGAGAAAAATAAATTAGACTGTTTTTATCAAGTCAGAATTTATGAAAACACACTTTATTTGTTATATCCAGTCACTTCATTATCAGGTCCTCTAATCAAAATAAAATGGAACCGCCATTTGTCTTTATTCCCTCCACTGAAAGGAGGGTCTTACGCAGAGTGAGTTATGTACGTTCGTTCGTACAGAACAAAAAAAAATGTTTCTTTGACCTTCTGCAAGATGGCTTCTTACATGAAATCAAAAAATAAAAATCGGTGAGATTGGTCACCTCACACACAAGTCTAAGCCAATCAAGTATTTTCTGGATATGGCGCTCAGCCGATAGGATTTCGATGATTCGAAATTTGGCCAATCAAGGATTTTTTGGTGCGGCATTCAGCAAATAGGATTTCAAGAGACTCAAAACTCACCGATTCAAGTTTTTTTCTGGGTGTGGCTTGCGTGGAAGCGGTTTTGTCAGGTGTGACTAGGTACCACTATGAAAATTTATTCGTGTCAGTCTTGTACAGTAAGATGAGGATGCGGAAATGGTCGTGTCTATGCTTTTTGGTTCCCACGTCGGCTACACAGTTTCTATGGTATACATTGGTAATGGCATTCCCTTATGTAGACACTGGTTCCAAGACTCGGATCTACTCAACCATCTTCACTGATGTCCCTCACAAACATTCGCATTCAAGTTTGACATGGAACACAGGAAAGATTTCGTACGCGTTACGGTGGGGTGGGTACAGTTATTCTCTCGGGTTGCACATGGGTGGCTATACAATATCAATCGGTCGAACTTTTTCAAAGATTAAATTCTTTTCATGCAGTGACATACATATATAACTTTTATTGCAAGATATAAATTCGTACAAGTTTCATGAAGTATCAACAGAATAAGATATCAAAATGAACACAAATCGAGCATGCAATGGATAGTAAATGTTTTACAGGTGACAGGTTACCAGGAAAATTTGAGTACTGAGAAAATTTTATTGTTTTAAACAGATAATGGAAAACGTTTTCGAGTATTTTGTGAAATTCTGTGTAATCTGTTCAGTTCTTCGAGTTGAGCTGCCGATGGCTTCACTTGAAGTTTTGCGAATTCAAAAGGACCTATGATTAGTAAATCATCAAGCCATTTTACACGAGACAATGGAACGTAAACCGATGCGACTTCAACTGGACCAGGTGGCATGACAAGATCAATGAAAATTTTGCCGCGTGTTTGACCTTGACTTTTATGTGTGATCATACTGTATGCGGGAACTAGAGGAACATCTCTACGCTTGACCGAGATTTTGGTTGTTCGTTTGTTGATTTTTGCAGCTTTTACCACATTCTGGGTAAGAAGTTTCTTGACATCAAAGAGAAATATTTGTTCACTAATGGCTGTAGGAATTATTTTGGATTGAAGTTCAGCAAGTTCAGAATCAAGCTTGCAATTGGGAAATTCTACTAAAGTGTATGTTGGTTGTGTTATAAACTTGATATTTGTTGGAAAATTCTTGTCATGAAATTGAACATCTAATGAAGATTCTTCGTATACAAGTTGACGAAACATTCAACGTGTACCATTGGATAGTTCGAGCTCAGTAGCGACGTTCTCTGTGAGTAAAACTGGCATCCCCTGTACAAGAGGTTAATAGCCTGGAAAATGCTGTTTTATTGTCAGGTAATTCAAAAATCGCTTTACGTAATTGTTCATCTTCTATGTTTTTTCCTTGAATATAATCTTGAGCAATGCATACGATCGGTGTAAGCTTCATTTCCATTGCTTTATTTAAGACCGCCCTATTGTTAAGCTGAGTATGGAGTGCATTTCGAAAAACTAGTATTGTAGCCTGTTAACAAAGATCTAATGACCTATAGAAAAAAAAGTGATTATACATACTTCGTTTCATGGTTTTTGTTGCAATGATACTTGTAATTTTGAATTTTCTATGACTTGCGTGCAAAGAAGTTAATAATCTTCGATTGTCGACTGCCCATTTCTCAATCTGTTTAAAAGCTCCAAATATCGGATATCTTCGGTTCGCATTTGTTGATTTAATTCAACAACGCAATTCATTTGAGATTTAAGCTGCTGTGCACAAAGCATATCTATTTGACGTCCTGTAAATTGCTGTGTCGATGCGCAGCTGTGTTAGAGAGATCTATCCAATACTGGAGAATATTACAGATAGTCGCCGAAAAAAGTGGCATTTACACCACCAAAAGGAACGTCAGAATTTATGTGCTTTGCTGTTTTCACTATTCGATTGAGACGAGCTAATAGGCTAAATCCTACCATACTCATTTCATCGATTATAGAGTACTTGACATGACGCCATTCATTTTCCAACTTCGTGTTCCCGGTTCTAAATATTCGTATTTGCTTATTTTTGGAATTTTTGCGACTTTCGCCTAAAAATGAATGGATAGTTAATCCATCAATTTCTGCTGCTGCTATAGACGTTGGTACCAGTTTACGCAGCATTTTTCTCCCCTTGGTTAGTTGGAAATACTTGGTGATTGCCCGAATCAACCGAGATTTTTCAGTACCGCCGTAGCCAGGTACACACATCAGTAACTGATTGTTGATAGTACCTAAATAGTTATGTCTAATGACAATTTGTAAATTGAAAATCAAAAATATATAGCAGTGTGAATTTGATTGTCGCCTTCCAGATAACTAGCAACAATTATGAAAGCATGCTTTTGCTAACTATTTAGCGTAAATGTTTTGATAATATCGGATTTTGTTGGAAATGAGACTGTTGTAGTTGCAGTGACAGGTGGTACTGCGGTAGTTTGCGCTATAAATGGACTTGTTGGTATTTCACTAGTTACAACTTCAATCTGCGTCTCATCATCATGTACCTCCATATTGACTTCATCTGAAATTAAATAGTTTCTTGCTTTATCTCTTCTGGCTTCAATGTCGTGTTTCCACTCTTTAATCATCGCTGCATGATGTGGATGGGCTACCACGAATGTGTTGAAATCATGAACCATAGCATAGCTAGTTTGACTCCATATGTTTCGATGGTCTAAATAAAACTAAATATTTTTCAAATGCAGAATTAATAAGCTCACCATTGAGTAATGCAAATCTATCTGTGTTATCAATTGCTTGTAATGTATCACGGAGGTAACGTTGCTCTTGATTGCCGGTCGATGCCGAGTAAGTATTTGTAGTGGTCTCATTTACGATAGAAAGCATTTGCAAAAGCTGTTCAGGATCGTGTCCTTCAGTATTTTGATCTTCTTCATAGGAGTTAGGGATCAGAATAGGATCAATGCTGCTGTCATTTTGTGCTTCTAAAAGAACTTGATGACGGTGCTAATTCTCGATCGGGCTTATATTCACGCAAAAGTTGCATATTTTCTATAATTTTGAGTGAACTAGAAGAGATCAATGGTTTTCAAACCTCCAATGCGTCAGACCATGTCTAATTTAGTGCATAAAGGTCGTGGACTGATCTCCATGGCACGAATACAGTTAACAATGCACGACAATAACGCTCGCATGTTTCTTCTCGTTCGCGACGGAGTAACTGAGGACCAGTCAGAGCTGGTACAACTGAACTAGTGCGCTTAAGGATGATATGTGATGATGATTGTGAATGTGCACTTTCAAATGCGTGTCATTCATTCATTTTTGTTCCTTCCGTATATAATCGTTCACCTTCATGCTCATCTGCATTCTTTAGTAAATGGCGATTTGATTTGTCAATAACCTTTTTGTGAAAATGACTGACAAAGTCATATAAGCATACTGGACTTCGATCTTTTGATCTATGCTAAGAGTCCAGACGAGCGTTTATCATGACATACCCGTCTCCATGTTTGGTTTTTGTTGGCTCTAATAGAAACTGTTCTTCAGTTTCTTTTGCATTTTCCGCTTGTTCGTCGTAGAAGAGCGTTAAGATCTCGAGAAAATTTGCATACTAAATGTCTATGTAATCATTGTTAAAACTTTTTACCATCAACTTCCTTTCTGTCAATGTCTTTTTCGTTGAACCGTGCTCGGTTAGTTCTTTTTGTAGATAATTTCGTTTTCGATTGGGATAAGAAAAAAATTTCTGAATGTATGTGTAGTGTAATGATCACAATAGTTCATTAGATATGATGCCACTTGAACACCTGAGCACTTCTTGATGTGAAGCGATCATATTATAGCAGCGTAACAAAAGTTTATGCGATTTTTCAACAGCATTATCGATGTCATTTGTGATTTGCTGCGCTCAATAGATTGGATTCCTTGCTGCGCAAGGGCAAACATATCATAGAAGGCTAGAGTCGACTTTGTTACATAATCA